TTAAGACCTTACATTTATAATCAGATCAGCGAGTGCTTTAATCTGATATCAAAATTGGGTATAAAATCGAGCGTGTTAACAAAATGGGGAGCATCTTGGCGGGACTGTTCAGAGAATCTCTCGTTTAGCCGAATTTTGGGAGGACTTTTGTACTTTTCAATCGATACCCCCGACGAACCTAAGATGAACGATCGCGCAGCTCTTTCAACGGAAATGTCTGATCGAAGATATTAATTTAGAGCCGTGCGCGCTCAAGAGCGCGATCGGAGTTCAACGCTGACGAGCGGCCCTTTGAACGGCTAACTGCACGACAAATTCGGGAACGTCCCTCTATTCTCGTGACTATCAATTGTGGCTAATCCTTCCCCGAGAGCCACCGAGAAACTCTTGTCCAGCCCGCATGTGCTCTCTCGCGCACGATCGCGAGCCTGCAATGTAAAATCACATCCGACGTTCATCCGCGTGAGAGTCAAACGCGTCATCGTCATTTACGGACCGTCATTCGCCGGGAATTCGCGCCCGATGCGCGCCAGCAATATCCTCGGGAAGCCCGCTTTTCGGTGGGACAATTAAAATTCGGCCGACTTGGTGGTTCGGTCATGTATATTAGATACCCAATTCTGGCGGTAATCCAGCTATAAATATCTCTGAATTATATTTTCTACCTCGGGCTCGGGGGCATCGCGCGACCGCGCCACAGACGATTTGTTCTAAAAGAGCGGCCAGCGAGAGAGAGAGAGAGAGAGAGAGAGAGAGAGAGCCGGAGGGCGGAGGATGAAAACGGCGCCACGGTGTCTGTTTACCCGTCAATCGCGCGATTAAATTGGATCGCCGGTATTATCTTTTAATCCCGACGCGCCGGTAGAATGGTAGCGGCTTCCGAAAAATCGGTAGAAAATTTCGGCTCCCGGATATCCGGTTATAGTCGCTACTGCGGAGAGGAACTGAAACAATTGCGGGACGACGGTACGTTATCCGACGCGCGATATATATCTCTCCCTTACATTTGTTATCGGCCACTTTTCTTCGTTCCGCTCCGCACGTTGCGCCAAGAAAAATCGCAAATAAAAGATGATCCACCGAGATATCGCGACGCTCGGCGCGATTTCAGTTCAAATGTACACGCAGAGAATTTCTCTCGAAGATATAAAGATGATATTAATCGAAAAAATACCGTAGTAGCTTCGCCCGGCTATGTAGTGAAAAATTTTGTGTTAACAACCGTTTCTATTGAAATTATCGTGTTACTTTGATACGGGGAATATGTTAAAACATAAATATAATATTAATTTAATATATTCTTAACTCATTAAAGTAATAAAAAATGTCAATAGGCCGTTTTTAATGCAAATCTTTTTACTTTGTAAAATATATTTGTAACGTCGAAACAATTTCAAGGCAGTATAGGAAATTTTGGAAAGCAATGCGAACCACATAATTACAATTGTACATTGTTACACAAACGTAATGGTCACAAACATCACGAACATTCCGTTTTTCTGTTCCGTCTCGGCGGCCTTTCCTTTTCTTCTCATAGGCCCGTATTAATAATCGGATTTTATATTTAAGATCGTCTCAAGTTTATCTTCAGATGTTTTTCATAATGAAATAAGCCATACAGCATTTGAAAATAAACACAAGCCGGTCTTTGATATAAGATCTGACTATTAATACGAATTGTAGACGCGCGTGCATAATACTATACATTACACAATAGTTGCTACCCTAGATTAAATTTTTCCGAATAATGATATTAGAAATAACCAGCCTATAATCCAACCGGCATCGTAGAAGAAACATATATCAATATTGGATATTTTTACTTTTCTGACATTTCCTTGTGGATATGGTATATTTATATACGACTTATATACAATAAAGTTAAAAATATATTTAATTGAATTATTCATATATTGTTACCATATATAAATTTTCAATACAATTATGCCTTAGTTGCGCAATACAAGTCTGGTAAATTATTCTAGTTGAGATAGTACTTTTCGCAATATTTACAATAAAAACTTCTACAAGATCCGGAGGGATATATATTTAAGAAGTATTAATTAATATGAATATTAATTGCAGGTTAAGAAAGTCGGTTTAACGTGAAAAAAAAGATCACTACAATACTACTCATACACCGAATGTCTGCAAAAATAGTCTGGCACGTATGTTACACTGTCAGACAATTCTATCCTCCCGCTAAGATTTAAAATTTCGCGGCCGACGTCCAGCAACGATTCAAAATCAGCCTATCGTTCTTTCTAGTAAATTATGCTATTAATACGCTGTATTATTCAATAAAAAATTCTACAAACGTTATATACTGACGTCCATTTCTAGAAAAACGATTTCGAGAAAAAAAATGTCAGTCGAGTAAAAGTATAAAAATCTTTGGCACTCGAGTATACGTTTTTCGGGACAACATTTAAATTCATATTCGGCTATAACGGACGCGCGCATCGATATTTTATCCTGTAGGACGCGGCGTACGTGGATGATCTCATTCAGAGCGGATGTTTCGTCTTACGAGACGTCGCGCGAAATCGAGTTGTGTCTCTTGACAAACGTTTCCTGCCGCAACATTCGGTAGTTTATCTTCCATCGTTATCACGCAACGGGGGTCGGCCCGCCCGCATCTCTCTCTCTCTCTCTCCCTCGCTCCCGCGAGCGGACGGTAACGGCTAATCCAATCCTATTTACATCGCGGAACTGTCGCGGCTGCATTGACGTGCGCGGAAATAAATCCCGACACTACTAACACGAACGTGCTCGCTCGCTCGCTCGCTCGCTCGCGCGCCCACCGCGTCGAGGGCGCGTGTAAATCCCGGGCTTTCTCTCGGAACAAATCGAATGTCGGTCGATGTAAATGAATTCCGCTCTAATTGCAATTATGCGACACGAATGCGCATAAACGTTCGCGTTATGCGATAAATGACACGTCACTCAGGCCGGGCGCGGAGCGGAGGGCATGTATAGTCGCGTGTAGTTCGCTCGCTCGCTCGCTCGCTCGCTCTCGCGTCATTGCGAATTTATGAAATGGCGATCGTTATATCCGTATCGGGCCCTCTCGAAACCGTTCGCGTCATAATTGCAATTAATCAATAATTGACGTCGTATAATTGGGTGGCCGCCGAGACGGCGTTAAACATTCACACCGGTCGTCTAGTCGAAGGCGCACGAGCGACCGGCCTTTCAATTTTGCACCAGACTTCGGCTCGATCACCGACGATACGATAACGAATACAATTGTGACATTATCACGCCGATGTATGATCACACAGTAGTAAGCACAATACTTTCGTGGTTTTTTCCGCGATCGACCGTCGGAGCGATAGATCCGGGACTTCTCCCGACGTGATCCAGATCAGTCCCGGCGCGAAAACTCGCGGGCGGAGTGTCTTCGTGCGACAACGGAAAATTCGAGCGCCATAATCGATAATACATCGCGAGGCGGGTATCGCAAATACCAGCCTGCCCGAGAGAGTGAATTGGTAAAACGACGAGCACGCCAATCAGTCGAGGCATACCCATGGTGTAAATACGCGATGGGGGATCAGCCTTGTCTCTCGAATCAAACTCCAGCACCGGCGGACCGACTCGCCGCGGCTGTTTAGCCGGTCCGATTTATTTATCGGCCAGCTGTGATTAGACTTTCGCTTTATCGCGGATTCGCACGGCCTCAAATATCCACGAGCCGGGCGCGTTTGTTAACGATCGCCCGAACATCGAACGCCGGGCGTCGATCTCGAACACGTCGACGAGAATTCGCCGTCCCGATAAATCGCACGTTCGCGCACCTTCCGCTCCCCTCGCCCCTTCCCCCCTCTCCGCCTTCATCAACCGTTCTTTCGGGCCTCTTCTCCTTTTTTTTTTGTTGATACGCTTCGAGTACCTTCCACCTGTTGCTAAAAAAGAAAACTGTTTTGTACCGCAGGTCAATATTTGCATTCCTGTTAGGCTGCCATAGTTACCTCTCGATATTATATAGGGAGACTCGGTATCGCATAGGTGGAGGATCTCCCGTATTTTGTACGGAACGATACCTACGTCGTCGAAGAAGTAAAGGTGCGTATAGACGAAGAAAACGTTTCCGAATAAAAATTCCGAATAAATATCCGTTTAAATTATTATTCAAATCGCAATCCGCTCGACATCTTTTTGTTCTTTATTTTTCTATGTAGAACTTTTAAAACGGCACTGTTTCGTCCAAACTAACGGTCGAGGGGAGTAGCATTTTCGGGAAATCGGACTTTAAGATTACCTTTAAATTTTCGGAACAGCGTTAAGAAAAGAAAAAGAAAACTGAAAATGTTCTCGCAATTTTCTTAACGTCGCTGTACAAAAAGGCCTTTACATCCCAATATCTCTAATGGACGTCCGAGACTCGAATAATTAATTGTGCCAAATAACTTCCGTTACTTACACGTAACGATCTTCGCCGTTCGACGCCCATTTGCCTTGTCTCGGCCGTAAAATTCAATTTGCCCGGAGACCGGTCAGAGCGCATTGGGCGTACCGCGAGGTGTCTGACCCGACACCGGCGTTACTACTTGAGGTTTAATTCCTCACGCGTTCGCGGTGAAGGCGAACCGCGCGATTCCCTCCACCGCGGGGATGAACATCCGAGTGCCGCCATTCCATTTACCTCGAAAGAGCACGCCCGTTCGCGCGGAAGAAACCAGTTCGCAAGTTCGTGCGACTCGGACGGGAGAGCAGTTCTCGCGCTCGTTACGAGATTAAGGAAAAAGCTCCGAGCTTTGCGGGGGTGGAGGGTGGCACCCGGGGCACCCGGTGCCCACCCACGGAGACGTGCCCTCTTTCGGAATGTCCTATCGCCGACCCGAGCTTATTCCGCCCTCAAGCTCGGGACACACCCGCAATCATGCGCAGTTTCCACCCATCGGCCAATGAAAGCGCCGAGAGCTTGCAAGCTCTCGTCGCACCAGCTCCAGCTTTCGCGGCCGAGCCACTCCGACCAAACACCACGTGGCACGCGTCCGAGTTGCACGTGCATTCGCGGAGCTGCGAGAGCCCGGTGCGCGCGAGAACGGGCGCTTGCCGAGGAAGAGCTTGCGAGAGATCGAAACAGCGTTATCTAGCTGCCAAGGACAACCGAGAGGGCGATTTTTCTTCTCCGTCGGGGGAGGAGGAATAGCATCTCGTTTCCTCTTCCTCCGCGCGCTCAGCTCGAACAGCTTCTTTCGGTGTAGCGCGTTCGTCCTTCCCAATCTTCCCCCTCCACCGTCATCGCCCTCTCTCTCTCTCTCTCTCTCTGTGTTATTCTCCTTTCGTGAGACTTGCGTATCTCCCTTCACTCCCCCTACCAACCCCTTCTCGAACTCGTCGACGCGTTTTATGCAAACGATCGGTTACGTCTTTGTCGTATTGTACTACTGTGACGTGCCAGACATAACCGTGCTTCGAGAAGCCTGTCGAGATCGACGTCTCCCCTGTCTTCGTTGAAGCTCACAAACGGCCATCAGCAGAGACGAAGATTCCGACGAGTCACGGATAAGGTTAGAGAATTTTTTTCTTACCTCTAGAATCAGTCGAGGAGAAAGACTCTCATATTCGTCGTTCAATTACCTCGTATCGTTATTCGTGCCTCGTAATTCACACGTGTCTACATTTGTCCGGAGATCATTTTTCTGCGGTAATAGTAAGTAACGGTCGACGTTCGCACCTATATCATTTGAAAATAAAATACGAGCGAACGCACAAAGAGGAGGCAAAATAAATTTCCCTGTGAAAAATGCAATGCATTTGGCAGAGGAAATTTTTCGCGCGTGAAAAAAAGCTGGAGATGTAACATGACGTTAGATTAATTCTTCGGTGGTTAGCCTGAGTATATTATTCATAAGCGTACTCACTTGTATGCAAATCTTTGTTGATTATTACGGAGAAGTGTCAATTGGTATACTAATTTTTTTCAACGTTATTATCTTCACGAAATTATACGAAGTTTACTGTGTATCGATTAATGTATCACGCAATGAAAAAAAATTATTGACAAGCAAATAGTGTTTAGAAAACAGTTCGGATTCGAGGGAGGAGTTGATTACATTGCATGTAATTAATTGCTGCATTATTTACATAGGATGTGAAAACAGATCAATCCTCGAATGATCGAAAAATATAATTTTCAACAACAATCAGTCATGTTTACAACATATCTGTTTGCGCGATAATATATAAATAATTTCAGATTATATTATACAATAACGCGCAAGGAACTTTGATAAATGATAGCACTCGGCGGCGGTTGGAAGCGAGCCGATATTCAACAGTTGGTCCTTCTTTTATCTTTGAAACTTAACCCTCGATTCCGCCGCCCTTCGAATAGGCACCCTCTGTTCGTACACCCTCTCAGAACGGCGTTTCTTGGACAAGTAACGAAGTTGCTTGGAAAAAGGAATTTTTTGCGTAAAATTTGGCGGAAATACGACCCTGAGGTAACGAGGAAGAGACGAAGTATCCGGAGAATACCGATCCTTAATTATTCTTAGTCACTTGAAGCTCAAATGTTATCGATTCTAAAGTAAAAGTCGACTCTAAAACGAAAAGAAAGATTTCGGGATCCGTTTGATACATTCCGAGGGGTTGAAATACTTCGCATATTACATTCCATACAGAAAAGAAGGAAGGAAGATTACACGCTCCTTCACGTCGACTCACGTGTCGTCTTATCAATCGATAAACCTCTGGAAGTTCGATTACCTGGAGGCGAACGCGCTCAAAACTCAACGAAAGAGGCGATTTACGGTGCAGGAAAACGAACCGATCCACCCCCTTCGTCCCTTCACCGATCGCGGGCATTCTTCGCTCGCGCGGCCGGAAGAATTCGCGGACTCGGCGCAATATACGTGCGGCCATAGGTGTAACATATTTATGTTGTGAACCGGCCGAGTGCGAGCAATAAATAGCGGCGGGCGTGTGTGGGTGTGCGGGCGAGGGGGGTGAAAACGCGTGTGGGGGCAGTTCGTTGAGGCGCGCGCGGGGCCAGAGCGATTACGTTTCCCAAACCCCTCGGTATTCTCTCGTGCGACCGAGTCACCGGCACCACCATCCACCGCCGTATCGCTCCCTTCACCCGCGCGCAACTCCCGTCCCCCCCCCCCCCCCCC